CATGAGTGAACTCATGTAAAGGCCTACCTGTGTCGGCTTTTGTATTTATACCGGCCGGACAATAGTCACTTCGTCGGTGCGCAGAGAGTGAATTCCTGTTGCTATGCCTCAATGTTTTGCGGTCCTGACTGTTGTTTCGAAGGACTTCCAGAGCACTAAGCTTGGCGCAAATGCCTCTACACAGACTGCCAACGGATAGGCCGGGTTCCTTTCCGTTGCCTGCGTTGGAGAGCTCTAGCGTGCTGTATTGAGACCTTCAGTTAGACCTGCGTTCTTGGAGCACAAGGGACTCTCATAGACGACGTAAATCGGCAGTGTCTTGTACCTGCATGGACTGGTTATCTGTAGACTGCCACCTTGGATTAGCGGCAGCCAGATGCTATAAAGAGAAGTTCCATCTCCAATTTGTTGTTCTTGGTTAGCCCTTACCCTTTGGAAGTGTTGTGAGCAATGTTTCCGTCTGGGTTGTGCTAATGTTGCCAGCGGCTCGATCGTGCTACACCTTCTGCTATATGCAGTTTGTTCTTTGCAGCATCTGTGTTAAGTGCCTCGTCGCAACCGATTGGATGTGCAATATTCTCTAGAGTGGAGGTGACCCTGGTAGACATTGATTGAGCCACCATGTAACAATCAGGAAACTGCACTAACCTGTGGGGAAAATGACCCTACACCCCAGTGTTTTGCCTCCTTTTATGTGTGGTTTGTGGATGCTTCCAACAGTACTGATGTTCCTGGTATAGAGTTGATGCAATCATGGAGTGAGAGTGGTTCTGAGGCGATTGCTTCATATTGCTTGTAGCTGTACCTTGAGTGTCCGCGGGGATGCGTTGAAATGCAAAACTGTACGGCTTACCTCCTTGCGTGTGTCTTGGAGTATGCATGGTTATGAAAACCCGCGAATGCGATGCAATCTCACGTATTTGAAGGATTTTTCTCTCCAACGCCGCATTTATGAGACTTCTAGCTCGCGCCTGCTTTTTTGTTGTTTCTCGAACCCCTCGCCACATGCGTGCTGTTGGGCGTATCGGACAGAAAGTGCGCTAGGATGTTAATGAGATATGGGGGCTCCATTGCATCGGAAAGGCTTTTCTGTGTTTGATGAACGTGCTCTTTGACACGTGTTGGCAGGCGTACTGTTGTTCGTGATCTAGCTTAGTTACATTCGTGCAGCGGGTTGGTTCTAGCCCGAACGCTGCTTCGTACGGGCAGCAGTGCTTTTGATGAATGATCGTATTGATTTACGATACCCTTTGTTGCTGATATTGGACGTCGATGCGAAGGGCGTTCGAATGACCTGCTCAGGTGGTAAGTGTCTAGGCGAGGAGTACTTTGCTTTGGCTGGTGTAAATTTTGATTTCGTCAACCTCGGTATCACCATTTCATCTTCAGTGCAGTGAATTATGCTGAAGCGACCCACCTTGACCTTCACAGCAAGTGTGCCTTTGGAGACCCAGGCGGGCCAAATAGTTACGGATGGTGGGGAGCACGGGCATCGATGAGCTGTCGAACAGTTGGTCTAAATCAATAAGTCTGCTGGAGTTCATGCTGAATGCGACGTTTTGTGTGTATTGAGGAGCATGGTTGACGTTAGTTGGGGGAGAGCAAGCTCCAGTGCAGACTGTTTAGTACAAAATTTGGATGTTGTGTTTAGGTGCATCAGTTTCCGATTGCGGGTAGCCACGAACGTGTCATACGCTGCACATATGTGTGTTCCTAGCACGCGAACTGTGGAACGTTTGAGTACGTCTCTGTTCCTGCTCGGGTTCATAGCGATGCTGCATGGCTAGATCTTTTTCTCGCGTTGTACTGCCCAGGGGTGTGGAGTGTGCTGAGCGGAATGGCTAGCGTACTTGGGTATATTTTGCCGCTTCACAGTTTCCAAGTCAAATATTGAATGCCATACCACCGCCATGGACTTGGGTCTGGCTCTACGACTGTATGCTGGGTTTACGATGTTAAGCCCGCACGTAGTTGTGACGTAGGGGAGCTAAGAACTTCAACTCTGTGCTTTCATTATTGCTCATCGTCGCCAAAAGCTCTTTGTTACGGGCATCACCGGACATAATGTGCGTATGGATGTTGGCGGTTGCACAATATCCATTACAGTCATTGTCTTGCTTCACTTCGCGAACATGTCTTTTTGTCAGCGCTAGAAACAGTACTGACGTTCCTGGCATGCAATGGGAGTTCCTCTGTGTCGGATTGTGCCCATTGCTTTCAGCTGGGGCTTAATACAGGGCTGGACTGACAGATGCAATTGAACTGGTTGCGTACATGCGTGTGAATTAGAGTCTGCATAACCCCGTGTTTGCGATGCAGTCTCACGTATTTGTTCCTCGGAACGCAGATATCGTAGGACACGCTCAGTGAGAACAGAACAGACGCTTGATGCTGACAAAAGGGGGAAGCCTGCTTGATTTTTATTTTTAGTGCGAATACGAACTGTGAAAGCATGGCCCTTCGATTCTTTAGGTTTGAGATAGTTTCAGATAGAGATGTCAGAAAAGTTGCCGCAAGGTGTGTGCATGTGTATGTGCACGTGCGTTATAAGCAGGGTCGGAGTATGGTGTCGTGCGCTTCACATGTAGGTACGCCTAGAGCCACTTTGTGGTCCTGCTATCCAAACATTCACATTATGTTTTGTCCTGCGTCTCCGTTGCTAAACACGATCCGCAAAACATGCTGGCGGACCCATGTTGTTCTGTAGAATACTCTGTTGCCACGGAATTCGGAGGCAACTGGAGTGGCGCATATTTCAAACTGCAAATCATAAGTTGCATCTCCGTCAGGTGTTGCACAGGAGCGTTGTTCCTATCTAACTGGCTCACAAGATGTGCAAGCAGCATGGATTTGTAGCCTGTACGCCACTTCAAAATATATTTGTGCCTCTCTGAATTTACGTGCTTCTCTAGGTGTATGGGGAAGTTGTTTAGCCCTGTTTACTGGAAATTTTGGTGTATTCATGTGGAATGCTAGCCATTCCACCACAATGTTCCAGAGCTAATGCCAGCTCAACATGTATTTAGTATGAATGTGTGTAAACAATTCTGAAGGTATCCCGTCAAGCCATATATAGTGGGGGTAACAAATACAAGGCATGAAAGTTTTTCGGGAGTCACCATGTGGTTGAGTGTAGTGCCATATACTTGCCAAGGCACACAATTGACGGTATTGCCTAGCGTCACATCCGCATGAAGAGCTTTGGCACTTTGGCTTTCCCGCAGCACGAACCGATTCGCTGAGATGCCATTTGGGTCCTTCTCCCCCATGTGCATGCAGGTAGCCCGTTTCGCAGCTTTCCGACATTTAAGTAGCACAAGCCGCGAGATAGCCTGTGTAGAGGAACGCCCTAGAGTTCATGGTGTGGGGATGGCTGCTGTGACTACACTTATTGTACGGTTCGGTAGTTGATTTGTTGAGCGCCTTCTCCACCATTGACATATTTGGTGCTGTCGGACCATCCCTCATGTATCCCTGTGTGCAATCGGACTCTCGATATTCGCATGAAGGCACATGCACGCTAGCTGCAGAATTACGAGGTTTCGCAGGCGAGTGTTTTACACATACCCCATCATATAAGTACAGATGTTCCTCCATTCCTAGCGCGTAAGTACTGCACCAAGTTATACCATCACCGAGGACGACGTGCTTTTGGTACTCAATGTAAGCGCAGTGGCCGCCGGCCTTGCTTTGATTAAAGCTATCATGAATTTCCGTTTTTAACTTTCAATGATTAGTTGTTATGATTTTAAATAATAAAAGTGTCATCTAAGATCCCCAGGATGCAATTTTCTGATTTCCGATATGCAAAATTGTCGCCTGGGTAAACGGGTTCAATCGCCCCACGCAGCGTCATCAGTATAGCATGAAAACCCTTTCCTTTTCTGACTATTTTGTAAAACAATAAATTTCACACGATGCGAAGTGAAACGAGCGCATATGATGCAGATGTCGATTTGCACCATGCTGCGGCAGGAGAGCCGCAGCAGCCCGTCGCGCTTGAGCTGAGGGGCGTTGACACCGAAATGGAGGATGTGACTGAGTATCTCAGCACAACCTCCGACACTTTTAGCTATTGTGAGAACGTACCGGAAGAGCTGGCACACGAGGTGGATAAGATCCGGGGCCCCCTCTTTGGGGGCCCCACTACTGAGCGGTCGTCGCTCATCTAGTGCCCGTCACTACAAAATGTACCAGATGTGGGTTTCCCAAACAGTAAGAAGAGAAAAACGGATATTTAATGAGGCCCTGTTTATAAAATCTAGGCCATTAGTTACCAATTACCTAGCGCCAGCACGCCTCTGGGGCCCGTGTGCTGCGCGCAACCGGGACGCGTGCCCCGGCGGGCACGCGTCCCAAGGGCGCCGTGGGCTCCCGAGACAGTCAGATATTCTAGATCGGCCTTTTTAGTCTAACCGAACTCCTCTTGGGCTGAAATTTGGGAAAGTTGGCAGAGTCTAGGCTTGGGAGTTAGTGTGCACCTAATTGGGCTACGGAAACGGGTAAGTAGCCCTTGTGGTACAGCGCTAAACACACACGGCCCCACACCCCCCTAAACCCTAAACCCTAAAAAACCCTAAAACCCTAAAAGACCCTAAACCCTAATTTTTCTACAAATTTCAATTAAAATGCTAACGAATCAAATATACTTTTCTAGGGTTTACATTGTAAATATATTCAGCTATGCTGTATAAACCCTAAACCCTAAACCCTAAACATCATTCGTGAGGGTTTAGATATAAAAACGCAAGAAACCCTAGACATTTAAGATATAAAAAGGTAAGAAACCCTAAACAAATTACATTTATCTTATTTTATCTATTTACTTATTTTATTTATTTATTGTATTTGTTTTGTCTATTTTATTCATTTATATATTATTTATGTATGTTATTTATTTTGTCTTATTACTCCGTGTCTTGTATAGTCCTATTTACCTAAGAAAAAGGCATACAAGTTACAAACATATATATATATT